TTTTAAAAATTAACTCTTAAGCTGCATCTGGACCACTTGACTGAGAAGAAATTATTACCCAATCTAGTCCAGACATGGGCTGAAATAGCCAAGGATGTGAATATTAAAGGAGACTGTTACCTGCTGACTTTTTGCTTTTCAATTTTTGCATTTTACTCTCTAGAATCCACAGGTTTGATCTGGAGAAAATAAGCTGATTCAGTCTAACATGGGTTTACTTGGGGAGCTAAAAAATCTCAAAGAAATTTCATATTTGGTCATAGCCTACCTCCAAATAAAGTATCCCCAAAAGGCAAACAGAGTTGTCACACAATTGACTAAACATGTTTTGAAAACCATGGCCAACAGGCATGATACTTTATAAACAAAGTGTTGAAATATACTGTGCTCACCAGACCCACGCTTTTTGTTTGATGTGGCTATAACCAGATCTGACATCACACAAGAGAGGGGGACACACACACAGAAGTTCTTTAATTGAACTTTGTGGCACAACTCACAGCTGAGTTTCTTCATGGACAGCCAGAACCCCAGGCCATCTTCCTCTAACAAGCTGAGCAAGAAAAGCAGCTCTGTGCACATAATACATTAACCAATCTCTCCAGCCTGCAACACTTCCAGTCTCAAACTGGTTCCCTCTCACAACTGGTCATATAAGCAGTACTCCCTGGGTTCAGAAGAGTATGAATGTATAGAAAAATATGGTTAATTAGCAGGCCCATCTCTTTTATGATGCAGGTTGTAGTTATAAAATATCAAAATAAAAAGTATAACAATGAGAAATGTTATCAACTAATTTTGGCCCCAAGATTAAAAAGTCACTCTGCAATGACTTCATAAATAGTCTCGCTAAATTTATGGCATCACTTGGTTTGGGGTCAAGAAGAAAAAACTCTCCACTCTGTTGTAGAACTACGAAATTCTGGAGGCTAACTAGACTTCCCAGCCAATGCCTTTCACCTAAACCAGACAGAAATGCTTCCATTTGGCCCTTTAAAATATATTAACTATTACTACTTTTTTCCCTTTCTTCTTTTTTGCAGAGGCAGTTATTAGCTAAGGGGCCTTTTATAAAACAAACTGGAAAAGGAAGTAAGCCATTGTCAAAATGGGCCATGATTATGCAAGATTCAACAATCTATGAGTGAGATGTTCAAAACCCGTCTCCTTTTGACGTGAGGAACTGACCTTGGATTAGCTTTCTAGCTCAGTTCCCCTGGAAACGTGATGAAGGTGGACCATCACCTGTGTGGCCAGATGAGCCGGCTTCTGGTGTAAGACCCTGGGTGGTACATTGTGTCCCAGCTGGGAGCACTGGGAGCGGTCATCAACACGGGCTAGGAGTCCCAGGTCAGGCTCTCCGAGTGCAGCATACCTCCTGTTCCTGAGGCCTGTCCCTGGTCAGGGTCTGGGGATGTTATGCACAGGGGACTGTTACAAAATGGAGTGGTACCTTGTGGTTTCTAAGCCAGGGGGGTCTCCTGTACCCATGTGGTCTGTGGGGACTGCTGTGAAAATTTCCACAGAATTGTGCCAAAGGCTACCCACTGGCATGATGTCTTGCCTGTCCCGTGTCCTTCAGAATAAAGTGATGTCAGCCATGGCTTCCCCAAGTTCAAATGTGTAGGTGAACCCAATGCCAGGTGTGATGGTTGTTGGGCATGCACTTGGCAGTGTCTTCAGAAACAACACAATCCCACATTAGCACTGATCAGGCACAGACATGGCTACCGAATGGTTATGGGATTAGAGCCAACAAAACCTGTAAGAAATGGTTCCAGACCCTGCAAGGTATTTCTGAGGTTTAGGGTGGAGAACAGCAAAGATACACAGTAGAGTATTCATTCATTAAAGGATTGAACTTCTATTAACAATTTTTACCAAACTTAGTTATTAGCAATTTTTAAATAAAGGAGTGAGGCATCATGTTATAGAGGGGAGGACATTCGCACAGGAGCCAGATCTGCGTCTCAGTCTGGTTCTGTAGCCTGAGATAAGGTCCTTCCCTGTGAGCCATCAGTGTCCATATGGTGGAGAAGGGTAGGGGCAGTGGGGAGGATGAACGCGCCTTCCATCATCCCCCAATGTTCCTTCTGAAAAAACTACTGTTGACCCCAGAAAATGAAATGTTATATTCTTTGACTCCATAATTCCACTTTTGGTAATCTAGTCTCAGAAATACAAGAAATACAAGAAATCCTAAATACAAGAAAAAGCCTTATCTAAAAATGTAAACTGAATTGTTGGAATTTTTCAACTGTGTGTTTCATTGCTTGGATTAAAAATGTATCAAAATTGGGGGGGAAAAAAGAAAAAAATTTAAATCCACCCAAATGTCTAACTATGAATCACAGTTTACTATAGGTTCACCCATTAGACCACTAACTACGAAACTAGTAAAATGATGTTAATGTCATAGTACTGTACATAATAAGCCAATTCCATTTTAAGTGAAGAATGTAGGATAAAAATTATGAAGATAAAATTACTCAATGTTTTCTTTAAAAACCTATGCATAGACAAAGAAATGGAAGACATAGAAATGCTAAGGAAACTACAAGTGCAACTTAAAGTTCTTATCCCCCCTCCCTCCGTATTGTCTCAAGTTTCTCAAATAAACATGTTTCATAATGGAAAAATAGTTACATTTCAGTTGCATTTCCAACACATCTATTGCCCAGTATCACATTTTGTGGTCCATCTTTTGCCCATATCCTCTCTAGGAATACTATACTAAGATTAAGCTTGAAAACATCATGTCACCTCAGGATGGTTAAGTTATCCTGAAAACGTAAACCAATACAAGAGAAACGATCTGAGAAAAAAATTTAAATATCTTTATTTAATTTAATTAACAGGGCTTAATATTACTCCTGAAATAGTGTGTTTATATATATTTTTTTAATAATTAAGTTAAAATTTGCTCTTTAATTCCTATTTCTAAAGAGCTGTCTCTCTTCATATTGCCTGGAATACCTAAAAATTCGTATTTAGATTTTCATGGACTTAAACTAAGAAAATAAAGATCTGAGCAAATCACTCCTGTCCTAGTATCGCCAGGGAACCTTTGTTCCAATACACATACCATAGTCAAGTTTGGGAACAAGTAGCACTTAAAACATCTCGAGATGTTTACAAACCTCAAATTCTAAAATATGAGAATTTAAAATTATGAAAGAAAAACTGACTCAAGGAACTCTGCTATCGTTCAGATTTAACTTCTCAATTGTCTGCTTATCTGCATTCCTTACAAAGGGATTTTACGTTTTTTCTACACACACAAGAAGTTCTTGAGATATGCTTGTTATAAGTCCAAGTAAATCAACTTTACAAATATGTGAAAACACCCATGTTAACGTTAGGAAGAATAACATGAAAAAAGGTGCCATGCCACAGTTTTAACTTCAGTGTTTTAATATCATGAAATACAAGTACAAAACATTGTACAAGTACACTTTTTACTACATGGAGATAGAATAATACATTTGTGTTTTTACCCGATTCTGGAACACTCACTACCAGCCACTGTTATCAATGGCTGTCCATGGGGATTTGCTACTATTTCTATGAAGCTTTATCACAAATTAAAAAAAGCTCACAAATCTTTTCAACCGTTGCAGATTTATTTTTATCTGAATATTCCTGATCAGCTGCCTTGGAGAACTGTTAAGAAATACAAAAATTGCCTTAGCTAAGAGTTTCAAGTGGGTAATTTTGTTATTTCATGTTGGCTGAAATCTCCCTTATGTTGGCATTGCAAAGACACTGAGCACTTTTTTTTTTTTTTTAGCTGAGCCATCCTGCTACCTGTTGGCAGCTCAGCGCTGCTCAGCTCGGGCTGGGACTCGAACCGCTGTTGCTCAGAGCTCAAACTCTTGAGCGAGCTCTTAACCAACTGAGCCACTCAGCCGGCCCTTCTGAGCACTTATATAAGGTAAGAAAACAATGTTGTTTCAATAGCTCCCTTACTGCTTAGGAAGGCAAATTACCATTTCCTGAAAAGTACAGGATATTATAATAGATGTCATCCACTAAACAGTAATTCATGAAACTCCATTTAGGTAAGACAAATTATAGCAACAGAGGAACATAAAGCCGCACATATACTAAAGAAAAACAATTTTGCAAATATTCAAACTATTTTTCCTACTTTTAAAGTGGTTTAACCACATCAAATAAAGAATAAGTAAACTGCTAAACTATCCAGAATTCAGATTTCATAGCATACCTCAGTTTTCAGCTAAGACTCTTCTTATGACAAACAAACAAATGATGAAAGCAGCATTGACTTTGTCAGAAATGCAAAAAAAATAAAATAAAAATACTGCTAATTCCACAAAATATGTGAAACTAATTTTGTTTTTATAAATAAATAAAATGGTATTTACCTTTTTTGAAAGTTTTAATTATCATTCCTCCTATTAAAAAACAAATCAACCTTTAAAGATAAATTTTGGGGTATTTAAAATAACATGTTTGGAAAACTGTACCACATTTCTCATTGCCAGCATTATGCTTTGTTCTTGGCAGACTCATCTTTGTTTCTTCTTTTCACATCCCAATTATAAACCCTGGCCATATCTGTAAGAATTGTCAAAGAAAATACAAGTGCAGTTCTAAACAGAACACATGCAATGACTAAGCACTCACTCGCACACTGAATAAGACAGAAATCACAACACACAAAATACTGGTCACAAACAGTGTTGAGAGCCACCTTGCTATAATATCATTTGCTAAGAAAATATTGAGACTAAATTCCACCAAAACCAAACCAAGGCCTCTAATCAATTGTTTAGCATATCTATCCAATGATGGTATTATAATTAACAAATATGTCCTCGACACTGTCAACAGTTTTAAAGATAGCCCCACCTATGAAATTTCAGAGTGTTCAAACCATATCCTGATATGTAATATTTAAATTAGTACAATTTAATTATCAGTAGTTTTATCTCTCACCTTCCCTTTGGTTTAACAGGACATTCACTCAAGTTATTAAGCATCTACATCTTTTCCTTTCTACAAGCGGCCCCCTGCATTAGGCTCTCAGATGTCAATTCATTCTTTTATGGACCCCGCCTTTGGTGTTTTATCCAAAGAGTCATCGTCATACTCAAGGTCATCTAGGCTTTGTCCCATGTTATTTTCTAGTAATTGTACAGTGTTTTCCCTCTGGATGAAGTCTTCCCATTACCAGTCACATGCCAGGCTCTGCTCCAGGTCTCAACGCCTGCCATGTGCTACATGCTGTGGAGGAGAGAGAGCACAACTCGGAGAGCGCCCGGTCTGGCATGGAAAACAAACAAAGCACTATGTGCGCTGTGCTGAGTAAGCAAGGAGGAACAACCCCACACTCTAAGGGGTTAGAAAACAGCAGCAATGTTCTGATGCTGAAGCTGAACTATGAAGGACAGAAAGCAGCAGCCCAGGTACACAGGAGGAGATCGCTCCAAGGAGGAACAAAGGGGGGAATGCAATGGCTGTGGCACATGTAGGGGGTGAGGAGAATAACTGACCTGGAACCTGGGGTGCGCTGGGGGGAGGGCCAGGGCAGAAAGAGGCCAATGGCCTGAAAATAAGGACTCTTCTCATTAAAGCAATGCAAGTAAGAATGTGAAAAACATCTTTCTCCTTTCCTCCTTTGGTTTCTTTTGAAAGAAAGGATACTGACTTCTGTAGTAGTAAACTGATCTCGAAGAAAGTCAAGGTCTTCCTCAAGAGAATCAAGATTCTTTGTGGCAGTCGATAAATTCTTTTCCAACAATGCCTGAGCTTCATCAATATCATATTCAAGCATTACATTAGCCTGAAGAGAGAAGGTCATGACAATTACTAAACACGTACTAAGCGCTATGTAGATTAGAGCAGGGGGCGGGCAAACCTCAGCCCTTGGGCAGAAGCCAGCTGGCTGCCTGTTGTCCCAAGTTTTGTTGGAACCCAGCTATCCTCCACTCAGGCTTTCATGCCACGGTGGCAGAGCTGAGTTGTCACAGAGACCGAGTGGCCTGCAAAATATTGACTCTCTGGCCTTTTACAGATGTTTATGGACACCGGGATAGAGAATATATTTATATACATTCTATCGTTTACTCCTCATAACCACCCCGGTGAGGCAAGTTATCTGCATCTTTACAGTTAAGAAAACAGAGGGTCAGAATTCAGGTTGCCTATGCTCACATAGCTAGTGAGTAAATGGGGAAATCAGCATACGAAGCAATATGTGTAGACACCAAATCCTATCTTTCTAAACAGCATTACACTTGAATCCATAGAAACAGTTGTTTCTGAGCTTAGGCTACAATAATTTAAAATATTTCAGACATATATTACCTACATTTGATTCGATAAGGAAAACAGCTCTCTGTCCCCCTCCTACGTCTGACAGATGCCAGAGATGACGGCCAGGTATTCTGAAGATCTGGCGCTGCTGCCCTCACCTGGGGATGCACGCACTCTGGAGGTGGGGCCTTCCCCTTCCCAGCTCTGAACACCTCCCACCACCTGACTTACCACTGGGCATTTCCTAAACCACTTCACTTATCTGACACATGGAATTTAAAAATTACTCAAGGGACTATTGTAAGGATTAAATGAGACAGTATTCAAGTATTTGGCACAAAGTTGGTGCTCCATAAATACTTACTGACTGAATAACCCAATCCGTGATAATTAGAAAACTGTACACAAATTCAGATGGGACAAAAATAAATATTCAATGAAAAGTACATGTCTCTCCAACCCCAGAATCCAATCTCATTCCTCGGTGTCAATAGCTATTGTTTCTTACTGGTTTTTTTTTTTCAGAAAAATTTTGCACTTTGGTTACTTTTAACAAGATACAGTTGAATACATTTAAAAACACTTAATTCGTGTCAAAAAAACCCATCCATCATTCATTTACAAAGTACCCAGTGCCAAGTATTTCTCCTTAGTTGATCATTCATCAAACAAACACACTTAAGGTCTAAGAGGCATCTCAAGACTGACCTGCGCAAACAATACGCCAAGTCACCCAGCAAACCTGTTAGGCCTGTGCTGCAATCTGAGTTACCAATATTTTTTTCCTATTGTCTTTTGACTTTGCTTATGATTTCTGACTTTTGTGGCCTAAGAAAAGCATCCTTATTCCAGGGTTACAAAACCATCTAGGACTTGGCCTAAACTTGGATGGTTGAGTATTTCATGGAGGTATATGACTACTTAGAATTCACCCTGGTGTGAGATGTCAGGTGGGCTCCAGCTGTAATTCTTCTCAGAGAGCTCTCCGTCATCCCAGTCTAATTTATGGAATCACCTTATCCCCACTTGCTGATGGAAAGTGGGTCGAGGGAAAGAGAAGCCAAGGATTTGAGCCACTGGGTGAATAGCTGTTCCATTTATAGACGAAAACTAAAGAAGTATGGGAATTACGGTTGTAAAATGAAATGTACAAACTCTGAAAATACTACAACTAACACAAATCAGGAGGAGGAGCTAAGAGACAGAGAGAGAGTTTCCGCGTACTAATCTGTCCATTTTTCCATAGCACTAAAATGTCTCTTAGGCATGATTCTACAGGACAGTGGCAAGGGGAAACCCTTGCAGTGGAGACAGCTGAGAGCAGTACACTTGGCTTGCTACTTTGTATGGGAACTTGACCTATGGACAGCTAGCTAGACAGTCAGGAAAGGCTTGGCTGGTTGGTGAGGGCACTGAGATGGGTAAGTAAGACAGGAAAAATCAAGGCAAGGTCTAGGAAATCATCTAAAATGGAAGTATATGGTTTAAAAAGTGGACTCCAACCTCAGGGTTTTTGTAATCATCTTTTCCCCCTTAAGTTTAGAGAGATCTTTCTAGAACTTATAAAGTCCTACTGAGAAGCAACATTTATCTGAGGTTCAGCTGGGCCTCCTGTCTTACTTCTATTGCTCTTCCTTCTGTTATCTTTAAGAGGTAAAGCATTAGCAGGCGGGGAAGTGGGCCTTGGTCACTTCTGCTTAGACTGGGAGAGACTTGAGCGTGTTTTGGCGGCAATCTTCACCCCCTCCGAATTTCAGTCTGTTTCTAGCATGGATGAACCACTTGAACTCCACCCCTCCATTCCTTCCACAGTCAAAGGGAGATAAGCGTTTGACACAGCTCAAACAATCCTGTTGGACACTGGCTTACAAGTGCCAGCCCAGGAAGCTGTGCCTATTCCATTTACTTACCCCCAACCACAGACACACTTTATCAGTAGGAGGAACGGAAGCTTTGCAATACAGGTTATCTGCCAGTAAGAACCTGGTCTCCAGTGAACTGGTGGACTCCTTAAAAAAAAACAACAACAGTACTGTAAACAGGTGAATTGAATGCCAAGGTTGTAAAGGAGAGCGCTCACAGCTGGACCTAAGCCATTTAAAGCAGGACCATCGTGCAAACCAAGTAGAGCAAGTCAAAGAAATGAATGCTTGCAGCCAGATGATGGGACATGGAGGGCATGGATTCTGGCTCAGCTACCTATACCACCTGTGTAAATTTGGCATATCACATAACCGCTCTGTGCCGCAGGTTCCTCATATGGAAAATAAGGATAATAGTCCCTACACCCCTGAAGGCCGCCACAAGCAGTTCACACACACACAGTGCCTGGTAGAGTAAGAGCTATACAAGTTAGCTGCTATTATTATTATTATTATTATTATTATTATTATTATTATTATTTCAGTGCTTCATGCCCAACCCACCAGTTTTCTGAAATCTCTTACAAAGTTTACCACTTAAAATAACGTACCAGAAATGCAGTTATTCTACCAGTCAAGTAGCAAATCGTATACAGAGGGAGCCAAGAAAATGCATACACGTTTTAAGAAAGGAAAAAACTGTAATAAAATTGTAATACTCAATATATACCGATAACAAAAGATGAATACATTTTTAAATGGCACTCCCGGTATACACACACACAATCTTTTAACTACAACATGCTTATGAAATGTAATCTTTATAGCTTGCTTTTGTTTAGTGAGTATTGGATCAAGACTCAGAAGGTTCTCAAAACCAGTTCTGCCAGTCATTAGCGATGTGACACTGGTCAAGTGTAACCTCTGTAACTATATCCTCAATTGTGAAATGAGAACCTGAAATATCATTTTAAGATTCCTTCCAGCTCTGTGCTTCCTGGACTCACTCCTTATTCTGACAGAGAGCAGTAACAACAAGCCTTAGAAGCTGCTACCTCAAAATAAGACATTTTGTGCCCAGAAGCATTTCAAATTGCACTGAAGTTCTATACATGCTATACATAAATAAAATAATTCAAGAATTGTGGGCCCTAGATTTAAACCTGATGGGGGGAGGGGAGCCACAAAGCCACGTTCATCAGGCAAGCATACTGTCCATAACGTCAGCACACGTGCTCAAGGAGGCTGCCTGGGTCTTCCAGGGACGGGTCAGCAAAGACACACTGCTGCTGAGGTATCCTGTTCGCTCGTATTTACAAACAAAAATCCACTTACTTTTTTCTTCTGCATGTATTTTAGAATTTCTAAAGTCTGCTTAATTTCAGGAATCTGACCTTTGAGTCTGTGAATAAGAAAAATATTAACTTAGCATTTTGCAGCAGGAATAATAACCACCAGGGTACAGTCTTACAAGCTGTGCATTTTCTACTGATATCTCCTTGAGGACTATTTACAAATATAGAACATTTAATATATTTTATATTTAAGGTATTTCATACATTTTTATTAAAATATCTATGACATTTCAGATATTTCATATATAAATAATTACTAAAACACTTAAGATATAATCACAAATATTTATGGAATGCCTATTGTGTACAAAGCCCTGTTCTATGTCAAACACCCCATCATTATTTAACATTTCTAGAGCAAACCATATTCCACAGAGGTGATTCAGAGGTTGCACATTTGATTAGAACTGCATTTTAAATAGACTAATTTTAAAATAACATCATTCAAACATTATATTCCAAGTTTGAAACCACTGGACACCAGCAATTCCCTGCTCCTGGTGAGTACCCTTACTGCGAAGACATGAACATCACCGCCTGCTAGATGCCAGCCACGTGCGGTGACAGCTGCCCAGTGCTTGCACTGGCCACACTGTAAGAAGTGTGCAGTGTCACCTAATGCGTACACAGCACATTATGATGTGGTATCCTTTAGTGATTCTTTTAAGCTTTGGGTTAATTTTTCATTAACTTTTATGTTTATAAATGCCATTTTATTTTCAAGTTGGGTAACAACTACTCTTAAAATTATAAACAGGGCCGGCCGAGTGGCGTGATGGTTAAGAACTGGCTTGGGATGCCAGAGGGCCCCGGTTTGGATCCCACATATGAGGGAGGGCCAGTGACACTGCCCTATACAACTAGGATGCTGAACAACAGCTCAAC